ATGTGCTGTGCGTATGGGCGCATCAGATGTTCAAATTATAACACTGCATTTACACTCCAGTAATACAGGCGATATTTGTGCAGAATGGAATCGTAAAAAAACGCATGGTCACACCAGCAAGCAGGTGCTTCGCTACCTGGATTTAAAACTTTCCGTTAGATATTTGTTGGGTTCCCTGGCCCGGACGCTCCAGTCAACTGGCGAAGTGCTGCGGCCTGTCAATTCGGGTCGTCGGCTCCTCGGCAATTACTTGCGGTAGCAACGGGGTCCTCATCCTCCCCCTTCGCAAATCGTCCTGGTCGGCACACTTCACGGGATAGGCACTAGTTGATCGACGCTCCTCGATGGGATTGACACTGGTCCAGATAAACACTACGCTACATACAATACTGACCTACAACACAAATTCGACGGCCTTGTATAGGCCGCTTTCGTGCCAATGCACAACCTATCTAGGAAGGGGTCATGATGCAACATATCCCTCCAGCTACAGAGATCGCCCCTGGTCTTTCTAGCCAATATATAATGCTCAAATTTAAACTTGTTAATCACAGCTAGAACGAAAAACAAGCAGACTTCAAACAAGTATTTTTTTTCTCACATGCTTGTCAAGGCCAATCGCCATGTCCATATTACCATTCGCGCGTCATTCGTCTCCGAATATACAGCGGTCGGACTCGTCTCTGTTGTGGTTGGTTGCGATTTGGCCACCGACAAATCCTCATATGCGTCCTTTTGTTATGCTGACGTTGCTCCGCTCTCATCGGCCTCGATACTACAGATCGTTCCATACTGCTCCGCGTTCCCGTTCGGTGCATTATCGTTTGTGCGCCTCGACTCGGCTTTCGATTGAGGCACTGTATAAATACTGCAACACTGAAAATAATTTTTCCGCGCCTGCTGGCGTTATTAGTCCTTGGCGGCTGCGACTAGCTAAGGCAGTCTTTGGTTTGATGAGCATACTGGTATCCCGATCATTTGTTACTGAAATTTTTATATCTGAGCATCGTCTTGAACCAGTCCTTCCTGTACTCCCTTTTTCATCGGTTCTATCATACCGAAGCTACCCTGGTTTTCCGATTTTGTGCATCGGCGGAATCACTGTATGATTTCTGCATTGTACAGTCCTGGGATTTTTCGGCTCGTTCTTCGCAATTCTCATCATTTCTTTTCGCCATTTCTTGTACGCACCAAGCGCATTCATTCGCAGTGTTAATGATTCTCCTCCAGTCCCTGGCTCCACGAATACATGCACAGGCCTACATACTTTCCCTACGGCTATGTTAATTCCATCTCTTTAATAATTCCATTATCTGGCCTGACGCTGTTCTTACCGTGAGTAGTTTTCCACGGCGCTGAAACGTTCTCG